GTGGAACAGATATGTTGAGGAAAACTGTGGTGCGTGCACTCCTGGGTGGGAGGCTTTGGGACAACATCCTGAGTTGTCTACAGAGGGCCCACAATGCTGAGTTTGACTCTTCCTCCACACCGAAGAAGATACAAGCCCATCATTCCAAATAAACAAATAACCATCTGTGCTAAAACAAGGGAAGAGATGAGTCCAATTCAACTGTGGTCATTAGAAAGTTTTACTACCATGCCAGCCCATCTGGGACTGATGCTTCCACACCTAAAATCAGTTTCTAGTTGAGACAAGGCAGTCCACTATAATCCCCTAAATGCTTCTCAGCCTGAATGAAGATAAGTTTCTCAAATTTGATACTAAGTCTCTTTACTACTGAATAGAGCATCACATTCAATTCCTTGGTTATCTGCCAAACTGAATGTATTTTATTCTTTGTTGTAGTTTTTCTCCTTCCTGTCTAACCAAAGGAGCATTTCCTGCTGCTAAAGTAAACGCAGGGCTTTTGTAAGATCTACTGTTTAGCTATAGCACATTGTTTAGTTTATGAACAAAATCTTCCAAAGGAATAGGGGAAAAAGAAAAATATCATGCACAAGTAACCCAGTTTATTCCAAGAATGTGCCCCTCCGTTTCTTGCCGAATCTCTGCAGAGCTTAAAAAATATATACTGGCTTTAGGACACAGAATATGGTGCTGGACACGAGGGACCCAAAGATGAATGGGGCGTGGTCACTGTGCTCACTTGGTTTGGGTACACTGTCCTTTCTCAGGATGCCTCAGATCTCTCCATTCATTCTTCTTTAGGAACAGCATCACCTCTTGAGAAAAGGCTAGGGGCTCATTTTTCCTGTATGCAAAGTAAAGCCAAACCTTGGTCATATGACTCAACATAGCAGTAAGACTACACATTGTAAAAAAAATGGAGCCGCAATAGATTAGATAAAAATTTAAGTAAAACATCTATATCTGTTGATCTGTACTTACATTTCAACATGGGTTTTAGAGATGGGAAATACATCTTACGTGTGCCTTGTAGTTCACACAGAAGTATGTACACACACATACACACTGTATTTCAACATAACTACACATACACACTCCATTAAAAAGATACTGACAGATTTATAAAACGTATTGGCCTTGCACTGTTAATCTCAAGAATACATTTTTACTTAATTTATTTTTGCACTGCATGGTAGCTCTGGCCACCGTTAAGGATCTGTCAGCATTTCCATCATAACTCTATTTTCAGAATACTGGAGTACAAGTGCCAAAATACATATTTACAGTTTACAGACAGCGGTGGCTTTGTCTTCCTTTTAAATCGACTTCTTCAATGCATCTTTACAAGGAATATTCAGGGACGGCAGTGCCTACATAATAAAAAGCATCATATAAAACAAGAGGGCAAAAGATGTAGACTTCCAGCCCATGACTAAACTAAACCACGGGAATCAACTCTTTAACATTCACTGCAGCTGTAGTAGTCTCTACATCATAGTCATAACTTTAGAGCAACAGTCCAAAGCAACATCACTCTGATAATATATATGTATATATATAAATATAGGAGCAGTACATAGCATTAGTACACAAAACGCTAAAAATGGAAAGTAATAAGCATTCAGCAAATTACTCCAGAGCTGACCACTTGCACAGTGAGAAAAATGAACACAAGCCACCAAACATAGACACTGACCATTTCCAACACTGAACATCCAACTCCATTAAGTAGGTAGAGTCAAAACATTTAAGAGTAAAGTCTCTCTTAAACCAGTATGTTAGCTACATTCACAGGGCTTGAAATGGTAAATGAAATGTCATGCAGGCCTGAATTTTTTTTTCAAATGATTAGGTGGGTTGGTAAAAGGTATCAGTCAAAACTTTCTTGGTGGAAGAAACTTTTTAGTGAAAGGAAACCAATTTTATTGGCTCTTTCCACAAAAAGGTAAGTAATTACTCAGATTAGACAGATTTGCTTAGCAATTTAAACATATTTAGGACACTCTCTTATGAGATTGTTTTCCTAAAGCTTTTGTCTTCTGATCTGGTTTTCGTATTCTTCCCTAAGATGACACAATATGCAAGCATATACAGACATACCTACTTGTCTACATAAAGATGGAGAGAGTCAGATTGTGGTGAAGATACAAAATAAAAGCAAACATTTTTGCTGTTAAGATGACAGTCATATCCTAAAATAGAAGGGAACCCTCTCACATATATCCTGCTGCAAAACCAGAGGCAAAAGCTAATTTATTGGGCAGCAGGGTGGGGGGGGGGGCAATTCTATACATATATCCCCCACCCCTCAAATCACTGGGGAAAAATTTAAAGAAAGCTTACAATATTCTGGCTGATTCAAACCACATTCACCCAATTAATTTATTAATTGTATTTGAAACATCTATTTATATATATACACCAACGAAATTAAACCCTGCCACTTTCCCTTTGTGCTTAAAAAACCAAAGCCACTGTAGGGTACACATATCTCAAAGATATTCTTAACAGGTTTCAAAGGTGAGTGTATATAAATGCAGCAGAACTGAGTGGGTTACTTTAAGAGAAGTATTACAACTCTTTGAAATTAAGTGAAAGGGATTTATTATTTCTGTATTTTAAAATTAGACGATGAGAGCAAGAGTATCACTTGAAAAAAAACCAACAATGTGACTCTCACTCTCAGAATTTTGTGGAAAACTCATTTTGCTGTCTTGAGGAATGACAGATTGGGAAGTTTTTCTGAACTCTGTTATCAATTTACAGACTAACATTTTATAATATTCTGAAGGCATCTGTTTTATTACCTAGTTTTCAGGTCTAAAGTTTATCACTATAATAGCTGCCCTTCTTATCCTTTTTGTTTGATCACTGCTTATCTTCATCTAGTTTCTTGGTTAGTATCTTAAGGAACAAAAAATCTTTACATTGCCAAATCACAGTTTTGCCACATAATTTAGTTACAAAAATAAAAATGGCCCAAACTATATAGATACATTTCTAGTTAAACTACACAGATATATCAGTTAAACCACATAAATTTCTGGTTTAATTAGAATATGTGAATTAGCAATTAGAAATTTGAAAAGATTTTTAAATTTTGCAAACATTTCCATATAAGCATTATCCTCCCTTTCCACCTGTAAAGTTAAAAACACAAAACCACACAATCCAGTCACCTAACATCCCAAATGACTCAGAAACTTTCTCTGTAATTGCACACTGAGAAGCTGACTACACAACAAATGCTTCAAGTACGGTTCATGCCAATCATTGTTAAAAATCATAACATTATTGAAAAAGTACATTTGTCCTCTGGGAGGACGATTCAGAGAAGTAATTTACAAGGAGCATGGCTGTGTCATAATTTTTTAAAAGAAAAAATAGTTTCTTTGGATAGAAAGAAACAGTGTAAAAAAAATCTTCCTTTTAAAATGCACAAATAACTCCATTATCAATCGGCATTTACATTACTACCCAAAAGAATGGGTCTGGAAAGACCATTTTCTGTACAGACACTAGTTAATCTCTGTATGAAAAGACAGCATCTGGCAAGGGAACAAACAGGGGAGACCGTGGTCTATTAGCACACATAGAGACTTTCTTAAGGCTGATCCAGTAACGAACCTTTGGATCCCAGAAGTATTTCTTCATTTCTTTTCTTTTCAGTTGAGTTCCTAGTAAAAACTTGGAAGATGAGCTGTTCTCACTTTTCATTTCTCCATTTATGGAGAGGATGGAATAATGACACCAAAAGTAATTGGGTTTTTTTTTTCTTTCTTTTAAAAATAATCTGCTTTCTTTTGCATGCCACAGGACAGATTTCTAGTTTCAAAACAAGGGTACAACAAGAACAAAAATATCCCCCCTCCCCAACCATCTTTACTTCCACCAATACAAGAAATCCTTCTGGAAATAACAGCAAGTGACTTAAACAGGTATTGAACCACTGAATCTACCAGTTAATACATAATCTGCTATGGCAGAATAACGAAAAATTTTCCCCTAAAGAAAGATTTTAATTTTTCAAATATAAAAAAGTCTAAGAGAATCATATGTGAACAAAAATCTCTTATTCCAGGTTTTATGGTAATGATGAGTTACACACTGGCAGCTGAAGAAAGCTGAAACTCTTACTAATAAATAGATCCGAATTAAGAATTTCTACATTTCTTTAGAAAACAGGACCAGAATTCTTTTTTTTTTTAAATGATGATCCTGCGTAATGTCTTTACTTCTGTAATTACCTAATATTATAACAGTAAAACAGACACAAGAATGTTGAGGACAGCTCAACAATGCTGGATTCAGGATGTTTACGGTACCCTTTTAAAAGTCCTACAGATTTATTAACTAAGGCTAGACAGCAATTCATATGATCCTATTTGGTGCATTTTCTACCATGGTCCAAGATCATTACATGGATACAGCCAAGGACTGGGCACCCACTCAATATGCCACGTAATAACTTCGTATAGCATACATTATACGAAGTTATACGACCCCCCCGCCAGTTGACAATCTGTGTCCTAGAACTGGAAAAACAAAAGGTGGAAAATACAGACTGCAACAAGTTAAAGGACGTGGAAAAAGTCGGTGGAAAGTGGCACGGCATACGAGTAAGGTCACTGGGCTTGGGATGGCAAGGGCGCTGCATTGAAAGAGCATCCACGGGACCAAGTACTTATAATGTCTGGTGGTGTCATTCCCTCAACGATTTTAGAATATCTGTATGCGATAATAAATAGATCAGTTATGTAATAAGGCAGTGTGTTGAATATGCATTCGTCCTGTGGAATGAACCACCACAGAGAGAGATACATGATACCATACACATTCTTTAAGTTTTCTTGTGTTGTGTTTGATCTGTTTGTTTTCAAGGCTATCCAGGTTCACTCTTTCCGGGGATGCCCTTGGAGAGAAGAGTGGTCCACTGAGGCTGGTTTGCTTAACCTCTCCTTCGTCAAGAGATGATGACTGGCTTTAAAGAAAAGTAAAGCTGAAGGTTGTTTGATTTTTATTTTTTCCCTTTTGGTTGCATCATTCTGAGTGTTTTCATATAAACAACAACAACAAAAAATCACAACCAAAAAAAAAAAAAAAAAACCAAAAAACCAATAGTTTTTGATGCATCCAGTTGTTGTATCCTCAGGATGTTCCAGATGTTTCCAGGTAACTCTGTAGTTTGCGGACTGTGGTTTTGTCCAGCGAGCAAAGATCAAAATCAAATGTTGTGTTTGTGATATGAAAGTGTCCAGTTTCTTCTATAAGGTTCACAATCTAGAAGAGTAAAGAAGAGAAAGTTTGGGCAATAAGCAGGCATTGAAAGGCAAAGACAGAGAGATGAAGGGGGTCAAATATGAAGCAAAGTGATAACTATTCTTAGTTATAGCAAGAAGGTCCTATACTACCAATAGCACCCAACCATCTCTTAGCCAATTTGTTAAGTCAAGGTATAGTAGGCCTTTGAAATTCTCAATGAGAATAGATCACCTGTTTTCATACCCTTTAAACTGATTCCTGCTTTCAAGTCATCAATAGAATATTTTACTATGGATGGATGGTTAGAGCAAGATAAAATTTCAAGACTGCTTTAAAAATTAGTTACTGACTCAATGGACAGAAACTATACTTAATAGATGTAAGGAAACTATAGCCTAGAAATAATAAAACTCCTTTAAAAAAAGTACACACACACAAATACAACAATAATCATTTTTGTTTCTGATTATATACAAGCGTACTTCAAAAAGTTCATGGAAAGATTTGTATAATCCTTCAATTCTATTTTTCCACAAACTTTCTTAAGTACCTTGTACAGTCATGCATGGCTTAATGATGATACATTCTAAGAGATGCGTCAGGCAATTTTGTTGTTAAGCAAACATTGGCCTACTACACGCTAGGCTACATGGTACAGCCGAATGCTCCTACGTGAGTCATGTGTCTGTTACAGTGGCTATGACATCACTAGGCAATATGAATTTTTCAGCTCCATTATAATCTTATGGGACCACCATCTTACATGTGGTCCCTCATTTACCAAAACATCATTATGCAGCATATGACTGTAATTATTGAAATTGAGAAAATACGAGGATGCACAAATAAAAAAACAGAAACCATTTTCAATCCCATGCCCTGAAGATTATGGGTAGTGAGTGGAAGGGGGCTCAAGGGAGCCTTCTTGGGTACTGAAACTGTTTTGTGGTTTAATTTGGTGCTGGTTACATAAGATGCATTCACTTTGTGAAAATTCTTCCAGCTGTATGCTTTGCTATACTTCAACAAAAAAATTAATAATAATAATAGTTACACCTCACTTCTTATTGTACTGGCTCCAGCTTTCAGAAAAATGTTAACAACAGTGGTGACAGCCCTGGCTTTCAGGAGGACACTTCTGAAGTTTCAATATTAAGAATGATATTGGTTATTGGTTTGAGAGATTCTTTTATCATGTAAAGTGTCTTTTCATTCCTATTTTATTAATAATTTTATCAGAAATGGATGCTGTGACTGGGCAGTGTGTGTTTTAAGTAGGTGTGTTGTGTGTAAATAGGAGGGATGGGAATTAATTTTAGCAAGCTTTGTAAGGGAGGAAGGAAAATCACTATCAGAGTAATAGAAAAAATATCTGCAGAATAGACACTTTACAAATTTCCACTTATTTTTAGTTGCCTCTGTTACTCTTTCTATCAATTGCTTCTAATTCTCTTTAGCTTAATCTTAAAAAAAGAATAATTATAATTATTTAGCCTATTATTTATTCAATGAAGTTTTAGATTGCCTAATGCCATGATGAAAAACAGCAGAACTGAGACTTTCAACCTTCTTTTCATACAATTAGTTTTCTTTAAAAAATAGCAAATTTGTGAACTATTCCCTATGGGTCAGTGGCTTTTAAAAGAAAATGTGCTCCCCACTCCTGAACATACTATTTGACATCCACAGAAGCATAAAAAGTATATTAAACCTCAATCCAATTAATTGTGCAACTCCAGATTGAGCTGTTATTGCCTTATCCAACCTCTGGAACTATTTTTTAGAAACATAATTACAGCTTTAATAATAAAATGAGTTACTTCCACTGTGGAACAATGACAGACACTGCAAGCCGACTACCTAATATCCATGTACCCCTTCTCCTTTACTAACAGAAGCCTGATTCTCAGAGAGTGGCAACACACCCAACTAAAATGCTTGCCTCTCCAGATCCAGTTGCAGCACTTGGCAGACGTGGCTATGTATGATTAATTTGTCAGAAGTCACTGGGCTTTCAGGAAAATTTTTGAAAAGGGTATGGACAATGGGCATTTGTGCCTTTTGCCTTCTGCCCTTCTTCCTGTCTGCAATGAAGATGCAATGTCTGGAAGTGCAGCAGCTATCTTGCCATCAAGAGGATGAATGCAACATACAAAATATGGCAGAGCTTGAAGACAAAAGGTCCATGTCCTTAGTGGTGTCTTTTAAGCTACCACATAGACCATGGATTACTTACCTCCAGGCCTATGGTTAAATGGTGGGGAGAAAGAGGGGAGAGAACCTTAGTTGCTTAAACCACTAGACCCAGGGTTCTGTTACATGCATCAAGAGATTATTAGAAGGGGTGTGCCCAATTATGGTTAAAGTACTACATCCATAAAAGACTTTATCAAACAACATCTTATTACTAAAACTAAAAGACCTAACATGGACACTCATTTGTTTTATTAGTTAATAGGTGTAGAACTTTGGACAGGCCACATACATACACATATATACAGAGACACACACAGGTATGTCTTCATACAAAAACCTTTCATGGTAATCATATACTTACTATACACTTACCACTGATTGAATTAAGAGTACTTTCTGGAGTTAATTATTTCTTTGTTTGCTAAACTGTCTAGAAATCCTATGGCTCCAGCAAAACTGTGTAAATTTTAGGACAGAAACAAAGAGCCTCTTCAAAGCTATTGTATTGTCAAATTTATACTAAAGAGGCAAATGACAAGTAGACCAGAGTTTGGTTCCTCTCCCCAACTAGCTGGCCCAGGGGTAAGTGACAAAGCATTCAGAATAAAGAGTCCTGAATTTAGCATATCAAGTTCTGACTGTGCTCACCATTTGAATGGAATTGGACAAAACATCATAATCTCTGAGCCTCCAGTTTCCTCATCTGTAAAATGTGGATAATGTTACCTTTTCTATTTACCATACAAAGTTGTGCAGAAGAACAAATAATATATGGTAAATAAAGCTTCCTTTATTCTATTACCTTCCTCCTAATAGACCAGGGTAACATGATTATGGTAGCCATATAAATATAAACTTATTCTTAATTATCTGCAAGTAACTAAACAGCACATAAGTTATCAGAACTGTTGGCCCTTTTTCCTCCTGTCCCCAATGACTGTTAGCCATTTCATTAACACTAAAACAAACGAAGCAAGGAAAATGCCAGAAACTAAAACTCAGAAAAGGCCTACCTGAAGTTGTTTATTGTTTGGTTGTTTTTTAAATAATTATAATAAAAGGCAGGAGAGCAGATGAAGGTAAGTAGTTGAAATGGGCTAAAACTGCAATGTCAGGATAACAGAAGGCCCTACACTTTCTCTTTAAAATGACAGGTAAGTGGTAAGTCACCCTTTAAAAAATAGCTTTCTATGACTCAATATAGCTGTTTACTAATTACTTAACGATAAACTGAGCAATAAAAATTCCTTCTAGAAAAAAGCCACTTAATTTTAAAGCAAATAAACACTTTTGCCCACTAGGAAATTTAGCCGTCATCTCCTGTGCACCGTAATATCTTATAGCTAGGTTTCCAATGCCTCCATCACCATCTTCCTACTCCCTCCACCCTCCACAACCAGCATGCCCCACCCTGCCTGCAGCCCTCGTATAACTTCGTATAATGTATGCTA